TCTGGGTCCTTCTCTTACTAGCTTCATAACCTTGGACACTGTTTCCTTATATGCAATATTGGAATAATAATAATTCTTGGTGGGGCTGTCTTGAGGATGAATTAATTCAAGTTAGAGTATAGCTCAATGCCTGGCACATGATTGTTATTTTTCACTTTGGTTGTTACTTTTGCTTATTAGTGGCATAACTTTAACATTATTTCCCATTCAGATTCCCCATTGTTCACTGGAGCTAGGTCAGGAGGAAAGATAGAAAACAATAGAGGGAGACACGTGGGCTTGAAGGCATTCTACTCTGGACTGAGGCTGGCTCACTCAGTGCTTTCTGTCCCCACGAGGTAAATAAATGATTAGCTATAGCTGGAGGAGATAGGCTGGCAGGAGAAACAGGGCCTCCTGTTCTTAGGCCCATCCTTCCATCCCATGTGTTTGGACTGCTGAGAAACTTGATTGATGGTGATGCAGAAATGGAGAAAATTAACTAGGACTTATTCAATCCAATTTAATTGACCCAATTTTTATTGGGCATTTACTATATGCCAGGCAGTGCTAAGTGCTAGAGTTATAAAGCACTATTCAAATAAATGATTTGGACAAGGTCCCTGCCCTCAGGGCACTTCTCAGAGGACAGACAATACACAGGAAAATAGATTAGTAGATAAAATAATATAGACTTGGTAAATTCTAGGAGAAAATAAAAGGATCGAGTATTACAGAAAGGCCCCCCGGAGAGGTAGCATTTGAACCAAGACTTGCAGGTGGGTTGAGTCAGGTTGATGGTGAGATGGGGGGATGTCAGAGGGAACAGGCTGCACAAAATGCCCTGGGTGGGAGTTTCAGTACTGACCAGGGTGAGCTGACACTATGAATGTGCCGATGAGTTCAGACAAGGGGTTGATTGAAGAACCAAGGGGTTTATGGGGATTGTGCAAATACAGATACTGTCCTCAGAACAGTGGTTTTCAAAGATTTTCTATCATTGGTCCACTGAGGGAGCATGTGTTCCTGCAGTAGGCAAGGATGGGTGGTATGGGAGGACTAGGAGATATACTTTGAGAAGGGTCTCCCATGATTTGGAAATAGCTGACCTCCTCGTTCTGAATTGAAAAGCACACCTCTTCATGTTCCACTTAAAAGTCTTAGGATAGAGGGACATTCGTAGCCCTTACTTTTCAATTAATTTTGCAGGTTTATATAGGCACACTGTAGGTACATGAAATTCTGACAGTTGATGGGAACATTGGCATCAGCATTTGAGGGTGAGTCTTATTTAGTTGATCACTGTGTGCCCAGTTAAATCCTGTTCTTGAGTGGAAAAGTTATTAATCACATTCTTTTGAAGTTATTTATTTAGAAATGACATCGGAGATTTCCCTTAAGATTTTAATGCACATGGATGTTTTCCTTTTGTTGAGAGGCAGGATATGGGAGAGGAGAGAACAGCTTCTCATTCAAGAGCCCTGCATTTGAGTCTGGACCACACTATGTGGTTTTGGGTGGTCATTTAATCTCTGGGTATTGGGCAGTGTACATTGTTAAGGATGAAGCATTGGAAGGAATGTATGCGATGCTACCATTTATCGGAGACAGGAAAGAGGAAGTTTTTATTCTATACTCTTATATTTTTATATTTTGAAGCAAATATTAAAAATTAATAAAAATAAAATAGAAAATAAGAAATAGAAACTTTAGTAGTTGAGGTGAGGGTTAATAGATTCATTAGCATTGTGTTTGATCCCTAGATTATCAAGCACTATTTTTTTTTTTTTTTTACCATGTACTATCACTATCACTGTTTGGGAGTATTGCAAGGGGAGTCTGGGTTAATTTGGGGACACAGAATGTACATGACAGAGGCCTATGGAAGGGCCATATATTCATGCGTTCAGGGCCTGGTGCAGCTGAAGTATGATGGGGATTCAATTTTGTTCTTGTCAGAGGACCTTGTTTTCAAGGTTTATCTGCAAAGATTGTGGCAGGTAGAATAATGGCCCCCAAAGATGTCCATGTCCTAATCCCGGGAACCTGTGAGTATGTTTCCCTGCTTGGCAAAAGGGACTTTGCAGATATGATTAAGTTCAAGACCTTGTGATGTGGGGATTATTCAGGGTCCTTGAATGTGGAGAACCTTTCCTGGCTGTGGTCAGAGGTGTGACCATAGAAGAAGGGTCAGGGAGATGACAGGTTGCTGACTTTGAAGATGGAGAAAGGGGCCATGAGCCAAGGAATGCAGGCAGCCTTTAGAAGCTGGAAAAGGCAAGGAAACAGATTGTCCCCTAGAACCTGTAGACGGAACACAGCCCTGCCAAGGCTTTGATTTTAGCCTAGAGAGATCTGCATTGGATTTTTGACCTACAGACTGTAAAATAATAAATCTCTGCTGTTTTAAGCCTCTAATTTGATGACAATTTGTTACAGTATCCATAGGAAACTAATACAAAGGTGATGTAGGAATAACCTCAAAACTTTTTTTTAAAAAAAAGATTATTTATGCATATAAGAGCTGGGGTACAGGCCAGAGGTGCAGGGGGTGAGCAGATTCACCAGAGACAGAGTGGGGAACAGAACAGCAGGACTGACCAAAATACACTGCTAAAGGGAGCAGTGGGGGCAACAGGAGAGGTCTGCTGCACCATGTGGGTCACCTCCCTGGCCGGCGATTGAACTCATGCTGCAGAGGCTAAGGATTGCTTCATAGTGCTGTGCTTAACCCCGTGTGCCACCAGGGAGGCCCAACCTCAAAACTTTGCTCTCACAGACTTTCTGATCTAAGAGGCGAGAGAAGACAAGAACCTACTCAGTCTTTACAATACATGGATATGGAAAGTAGAATTGAGGTGTGCAAGGAGCTGACCACAAGGGAGTCAGGAAGGTTTGGGGAGAATGTAGTATGTCGGGAGCAGGGCCTCTGAAGCTGCCTGTGCTGCTGAATCTTGACTGCCATTATTAGCTTGAGGAGTCTCTTAATCTCTCGGTGCTTCAGTTTTCTAATCTGTAAAGTGGGGATAGGTAATAATGCCCCCTCAAAGGCCTGTTGTACAGAGTAAATGAGCTAATGTGTGTAAAGTACTTGGGGTAGTTCCTGGCCATCCTCAGGCTTGTGCAAATGTTTACTGTTGGTAATTTGTGCTAATGGATGGGTAAGGCAGAGGCAGGCAGAGAGAGGTGGTGAGGCATCTGGGGACTGCAGGCCCACTCTCAGGGAAAGGAAGAGGAGGACTCTTATCTGAGGGGTGGGAGCACTTGGAGGTGGGGGGCAGGAAGTAAGGCGGTTCAGGAGCATGGAGCTGAACAGATGGTGGTGGTCTTGGAAACTGATACAGCAGAGCACCCATTTAGTGCCCTAGAGGGTTCAGCAGATAGGATGATAATGAACAGAGTAGGGAGCACTGATCATTTTCTTTAAGTGGGGATTCTGAACTCTGGCTCCAAAATCTTCCTACTTGCCTTGTTTTCCCTGCTCCATCACCCCAAATGGGCTGATGTTTCACCAAGATGACCACTCCCCATTCACTGTCTAGTTTTCCCTGCTACCTACAGATGAGTTTGAATTTGGGGCCACCAACTGATATCACCAGGACTCACTGTCTCTAGAGAGAGAACATTGGCATCTGTATCTGTCTCTCGTGTTTAGAGACTCACAGTTGCCTGCTCCTTCTGGGTTCTGATAGTGAGTAGAGCAGTAACCTCAGCTCAATGATAGGACCTTGGCAATTCTGCAAACTGATGGCCCGACCAGATAGGGGTGAACCTGGGCCCCTTCCTCTTGTCATTCAGAAGCCTTTCAGCCTGAAGCCTTTCAGGCCTCTGAGCCTGTAGGACTGATTCTTGAACAGACAAGCCACAGAAGCTTCAGGGCTTTTGGAGAGAAAGATCCCGAGGAAGGGGCGCTTTAGGCAGAATTAGGAATCTGGACTTTCTGGATCAGCTGCCTCTTCGATGTGGGTCCTCCCTCTGCCTTTTGGTAAATCCCTCTTCCCCTATCTCTGCCCAGATTATGCTTACAGGCTCTGGGATGCCAGCGTCTCCCAGGGAACTGTCCTGAATAGGGACCAGGCCTTCTTTCCCCTAAGAACATGATGTTCCTGACTCTTTTCATCCTCCTGCCCTCTTTTTACTTCTACTTTTGACATCTAAAAATTTAGGTCACAGAATGTGAGTCTTTCAAGGTCTCTTCTCTGCTATATTATCTGATAAGTGAAATTGTGCAAAGGGACCATAGCAAGTTGTTACTGTTATATGATGAAAAGGCCCTAACCTGTTTTTTCCCTTGGGCAAGTCATCAGCCTCCTTATCTGAGAAACAGAGAGCTTCATACTCTCTCCACCTCAAAGCGAAGTGAAAGGATAGCATTCATTTGTCCCTCTGTCCATCCATCATCTACTGAACTTCATTGAGGACGGATACTGAGCCAGGAAACCTGTAAAAACTGTTGATACAACAGACATGGTACCTATCTGACCTGGCTGGGGTCTTGCTAGTTCTGTGGGGTTTAGGGGAGACTCCGGAGAGCACTTTGCTTTGCCCTTCCCTTGGGCACATGGAGGTTCTTTTGCTCTCTGCCTCTGCTTACAGCTGGCGCCTGGGTGGTGCTTGTTCCTGCTCCTTCTCAGAATGAGACTGGGAAGAATCAGCCCCCTGCAGGGTGACTCTGGGGCCAGTTGTGCTCCCTGCACATGGGGTGGCCTCCCAGAGCTGTGCCCTGAAAGGGGAAGAGGAACTACTGTCTGCAGAAAGTGACTCAGCTTTGGTCACTGTCGGCTTTGTTACATAGTTGCCAGGGGGAGTTACTGGAGATTTAGGACCATTGTGATGAATGACTTGAGTTGCTTAAAATGATATTCTGAGAAAACTCAGGATGCCTATAGTCCTGTGTGAGTCTGGCTATTGATCTACTTCATTCAAAGTGCAGGCCACACATAATTCTTAAAACTTTTCATTCATTTCTTACAGGGCACTTCAGGTTGAGATTGTTTCCTTCCTCTCCCTCTGCCATTTTACAGCTCAGGAGACAGACTTGGACTGACTCTACACCCAGGTATAACAGACTTTGGAGCAGAACCTCATTTTCTTCTTTTATATGCTGTGCTGCATGTCTCAGGAAGGGACCTAGCATTTACATTTAAAAAATGCAAGAAGCATACTAGAATATAAGAAATTAGTAAGAATGTAGAAATTAGCTGACAAAAGAAGGGGCTAATTGTGGTGTGTATGTCTGTAAGAAGAGACATGACAGATAATCAGCATTTGCACAATTTTATGGTTCCTGCACTTCTCTCTCTGTCCTTCCTGAAGGACTGGAAAACCACTTAGCAGATACCTGATTATTTAAAATTTTTTTTTATTTTATTGTGGTAAAAATCCTGAGCATGAGATCTACCCTTTTAGCAAATATTTAAATATATCACCCGGTGCTATTAACTGTAGGTGCAGTGTTTCATAGCAGATCTCTAGCTTATATTCATCTCGTCTTTTTTCCCCAAAGTATTATTTTACTTTCTTGATGCACTTTCCTTTATTAAGAGATGATTTGACTGAGTTTTTTCTTGATTGTTCTGCTGACCTAGGACACCCTTCTATCTCTGGGACTCTAAAAAGAATATTCGGTGGCATAATATACCTGAAAAGAATACATGTTAAAAGATTAAGGAGTTCAGGCCTTGTGTGAGATTGGGGCTCTGCCAAACCAATGTTTTTTCTCTTTTTTCCTGAACATTCATGTAATAATATTTCACCACCTGCTTGTCTTCACCTTCTCTCTCCTCTTACAGTTTATTGTTCACTGTGGCATACAAATGAAAAAAAAATATGAAATTGAGTCTGTCATCAGACTGCATATCAAATCCTGAGTACTGAAGAACTTGAAATTTTTGAGAGTAGCAAATACAATTTTCTTTATAAAAAAGTTAGCCCTTTGATTCGTTGGAATAAAATAGCTTGTTTTTGGAAGTATTTTCAAAGGGCAGGCTAATCTCATGAAGGACTTAATGCTTCCACTGGTCTACTTTCATATTAGGAATGGTTGCAGTATGAGATGGTGCAATATGACTTGTTTAAAACATACTGCGCTGAAGCCCGATGGGGTTTCCTTGTGACAGTGACTTGTGAAGAAGTACTGAAGTTTAATAAGTATTTTTTTTTTGTGTGTGTGTGTGCTATTTCCTTTATTTTCGGTTGCTTTCAGTTTCGTAGTTGAGTGTTAAGAACAAGCTTGTGAATGCATGTGATTCTGCTGAAGTATTTTAAGAAAGATATTTGAGGAAAGGACTAGAATGCAGTTAAAATAAGAAAAATAAACCAGAAATAAGCTGTGTGTGTATATGTGTGTGTGAGAGAGTCAACCAAAATGAAGCAGAAAGTGGTTTATTACTAATAATGTATTAATTCTGTAAATGAGGAGTCCATACCTCTCTGCCCTCTTTCAAAGTGGAAATGCTGCTGTGTGTTACCTCCAGGAGGTGTCATACTTGAGATCTTCCAGTTCTGAAGAAGAGCTTTGCTTTAGCCTTCCCTTGCTCCTCAGAACGGTCAGCTGTCATTGTGGTGCCCACTTGTAGCAAACCCTGGGTTCCTGTCCTTCTGTAGTGCAGTGCCCAAGGGGCTGATGATTTCTCAGCACTGTTTTCCCAATTCATTCACTCAACCAGTGTAAATGTGTGTGGAGACCCCATTTACTGGTACTGTGACAGAGGTCAGAGGTCCTAAATAAACAAGACCGGGAGGAGCTGGGTTGTCTGGGAGCTTATAGTTTGGTGGGAGAGACACAATAATAATTCAATAGATTTACGCAAATAAATTACTCCTCAGAACTGCAGTGGAAGGCAATGGGGCAAGGGATTTGTGCTTTCTGGAAAGTTATGACAAATTCCCAGGGTTAGTGAGATTGGAACCAAGATCTGAAAAGTGAGTACAGGTGGGTTGAATTCTGGCAGTGCCCTTGAGCACGTTGGTGACCTTGTGGTGGTGACTGAGCAAGTCAGTTCACCTCTGTAAGATTTAGTGAAATGGGTGTTTGTAAGAATTAAATGAGACATGCACATAATATAATCAGCACAGAGGCCAACACAGTTGACACTTGTAAATGGTAGCTTTTTTATTACCTGTGTTTTCTGTTCATTTTATCAGAAATTTTGAAAAGACACTATTCAAATTTTTTTTTATTCTGGGAATAGTTCACTTGGAAAAAGGAAGTCTAAAAAGAGATTCATTGATCATTTTCAAATAGGCCAGATTTCCTTAGCATCTAAGGTATGAGAAAGGCCCTTACAAAGCTAGCTGTTGGTATGAAATCTCATTCAGATTGGGGTTGAGTTACAAGCAATTGTAAATATAGTACCAGGACTATATTTGTCCAGTGAGTTTTGCTGCAGTATTTGTAGTAACATAAAGATATATCTTACAGCTAAGTGTGGAGGGGCCCCAATGCCTCCTTTGAGGACAGTAAATCTTGTTTTTCTCTCTTATAATGCACCCTGTCCCCCCCTACCCCCACCCCCGCCCCAGGAAATCTAGTCTCAGGGAGGTTAAATAACTTGTCCAAGATCACACAGCCAGAGTCAGATCATTAGAATTTGAAACCAGATGTGAATGGCTCCAAATTTGAACTTTAAACATTTTGATGCTGCCTTTCAAGATGGTTATTGAAGATTATCTAATTCCTGTGTCAACAAGGTAGGTGTGTATCAAAAGATTTATTTATTTACATGATCATGACAAAGGCTTATGAAAATGTGATCTCTGGAGAGCATGGAGAAGCTGGTTGAATTTATTCACTGAATCAGTAGAAGCGGTTATATAACATCTTTCTGGATTGTTATTTTTCTAACCGTTGTAAACCTTGTTTTTACTGTACAGGTCTTGAGCACTAGTGTACATCAGTTGAGAATTAAATTTATTTTAAGTGTTTGGAGTCTATATATAAAATAATATTTTTTGCTCTTTCCTCATATCATTTCTGTGCCTCAACTCTTCTGCTAGTAGTTTTCTCATCTTCAGTTTAACTCTTTGCTGCCTTACATGTATTTGGGAGCTGAGTCAAACCCATCTGGAAACAAAATAATATATTCAGAGATGGGTGTAGACAATATGGGTGGAAATATGAAAATATCTAGCAGTGAGACCTTTGACCAAGAAAGCTGTTGTGCCTGACACCACCCCAGGCTTTCGTCGGGTCTCTCTGGGCTGGGCTTTGCTCAAATCTAATCCATCAGGATTTGTTCTGCAGTTTTTATTTTGTTTTTCTGCTAACTCAAATCTTGTTTTAGAAACTAAGTATTTTTGACTGATGAGATCTGAATAAAAATACAACCTGATGTGTCAGCTAAAGGAGGGAGAAATGTGAAAAACTGCTCGAGAGTCAAGTGGTCACTTTTCCAAATCTTGTTTCCCCTCCTAGTAATTGGTTTTTCCTGATTTGGTATAGAGGAATAAAGATAACTGTGGGCGCCTATTTATTTTATACATTTATATGTGATATCTATTTATATACTTTATATTTTCCAATTACAAAAGTAATATATTTTAAAATAGTTAGCTATCTATGATTGTATGAAGTAAAAAAAAAAAAACAAAAACAAAAAACAAAACACATTCCCTCTTCCCTGCCCCAACTGCACTCACTTTGCCATAGTACATCCTTCTGGAATCTTTTCCTCTTCATATCCAAGCACATGCATGTGTGTATATATATATATGTATACATGTATACACTTTAAACAATGGAATCATACTGCATATTGTTCAGTAATTTGTTGTTTCTACTTTGTGCATCACGGGCATTTCCCCACTGTAGCATTTACAAGGTTTTCCTCTCCTTTTGAACAACTACCGTGTATTCCACAAATGCATCTCATTTTATTCACTCATTCCCTTACTAATGGCCTTTGGACTGTCTCAACTTTTTCAGTTCGGAACATGGCTCTGGCAAGCATCCTTGCTCACTCATGTGTCTCTGGACCTAGTGCTCATCTTTCTCAGGGATCCATCCCTTCCTAGAAGCTGGATGCAGAGCAGAAGGGTGTGTGAGCTCTAGACTTTGGGGTCAGTAACCCTGCATTCTGGTGAGCAGAAGGGCAAATGTGACTGGTGGAATCAATCCTGTCTTATGTGTGCATCTGGTTCTCCCAGCTGGCTTTCCCAGTTTATGAAGGTAACAGTACTTAAATCTTGACCCTTACTTCAGTTTAGACTTCCACGGAGCACCAGATATGTCAAACGGACTCTGGCATGCGGCTAGTCTTGTTTTGCATTTGTTTTCCTTCTTGGTATTTTGTTAATCTTTGGACTTTAACTCACAGATGAGATTACAAGAATATCTTTCTTTGAAAAAGACTCCCACTGGCTTTGTTTAATTTGCTGAGTTTTGTGACTGTTTACCATTGAGCCCTTTCCTGGTCAAACTGTGTCGGCCAGGTGGCTTTCCTGGTCTACTTCAGATGGTGAAGTCGTGGGTCTAGCACGCAGAGGTTGCCAAGGTTTTGTCTAGGCAGGAAAAGGATGCTGTGCCAGGAGATAGGTAGGTAGGTAGGCTGCTTCCACTGGCTACCCTCTTGACTTCAGCGGCCCCTGCTTCTCTATGTTCAACAGTATTATGGGGTTGATCAAAACACATTTTTCAGTTATACTTTACTGATTTTAATATTGGGCTCTGACAGGTCTTCCAGCCAGGGTTATTTGTGTCAGATCTCACCCTTTTCACCCCCCATCCACTTACTACCTCCTCCCCACCATGGCAGACATCAGTAATTTTGCCCTATTCCCATGGACCCACCAAGCCCTTCCGGTCTTTCTTGAGCACCACAGGCAGTGAGTATTGCTAGATTAGAGTTGGCACACTGTGCACCTGGTAAGACTTTCAAGACCCACACTTGAGAAGGGGGCGGGGAATGCAGAGAGGAGTGATATCCAGATCTGTTGAATTCTTGGAGCGCTAAAATTTGAAGAGGAAATTTGGGTCTCAGGGTCCTCCCTGATGGCGCAAGGGGTTAAGTCTCAGCACTATGAAGCTGTCAGCAGCCACTGCAGCACAAGTTTGATCCCCGGCCAGGTAGCTAACCCAGGTGGCACAGCAGACCTCTCCTGTCTCGCCCGCCGCCCCCCTCAGCAGTGTATTTCAGTAGATCTGCCTGTTCTACTCCCCCCTCTGTCTCTGGTGAACCCTGTCACACCCAACACCTCTGGCATATACACCAGCTCTTGTATGCTTAAATAAATAAAATAAATCTTAAAAAAAAAAAAAGTTGGGTCTTAGCTCAAGATTGTTAACTTTTTGCTTTGTATGGAAAAGACATTAAAGTCTCCCCCCAAACCTATCAGATACAATCCCTGTTATTTTTTGAAAGAAGGGAATATTCTAAAATCTAAGAATAAAGGAGAGAGTCCTGTAAATGCAAAGAATTTTAGCTTTTTAACAAGCTAATGCATATTTTTCTTTTCCCTATTTTGCTGTGGAACATTAGAAACCTGGTCATGAATCTAAGTGCCATTTAGGAACTTCTGTAAATTTTGTGCTCCGGGAAGTGTTTTCTTTATATTTGGGCAGTCTTACAAGGCAAAAACTTAATTCCTTTAATCCAGGTGATATTGCTTATTGATAATGTATACTTGGGTGAATGTTTTATTATTTTCACATAATAGGACTAATTAATTATTTTACAAAATAACAAAGATTTGTAACTCTTTGAGGTTTAAATAAGCATCTGTTCTCATAGTGACTCTCCTGTTCAGTTAATTCCATGGTTATTGTTTGCCCATCTGCAATTATATGCCAGGCACTGGTCATTGTCTCTGCTCTCTTGGATCTCACAGAGAAAAATACATAGAAACAAATGATGTAGAGCCAGTTTGTGTTTAAGTTCTGCAAAGAAAATAGTATAGTTGGAGAGAGAGTGACTTTGTGGGGGGAGCTTGTTGAAATACTGCAACAAAGACGACTTTGGTGACGTTTGAGCTGAGGATATATCCAGAAAAGATTCAGGGAAAACCTTTTCAGAAAAAGGAAATAGTATGCAGAGGTCCTGGGCTGGAAAGAAGTTAATGTGTATGAAAGAGAGGAGACCAGGGTGGCAGAGCTAATGATGAGGAGAGTGGAAGGTGATGATCAGGAAGGTAGGCCAGCGTCAGACTACTTAGGGCTTATAAACCATGGTAAGGGATTTGGAGTTGATTCTTACTGCAGTGGGAAACTATGCGAGGATTTGATCCAGAGGCAGAGTTTAATCTGAATTTATCAATGAAAAGATTACTCTGAGTGTTTGGAGAATGGATTATTTGGGGCAAGAATAGAAAGTTATTTGGGAGGCCATCACAGTCCAGCTGGGAGATGTGTCCAGAACCAGGGTTCGCCAGCAAATATGGTGATAAGATTTAGGGTGCATCTGAAAATAGTGCCAATAGGGTGTGTATCTGTGCACAGCTCCTTCCATGCTGTCCGAAGATAGTGGGTGTGCAATAAATAATTGTTAAAGCTAAGACTGAAGGAGTCAGTCAAGCTAGAAGGGAATGGGACTACCTTAGTCAAGAAATGGAATTTAAAAAGTTTCCTCCTACTACTTATTTTTTTACTCTCCTTCATTTAAGTTAGAATTTCTCTTGAGTTTTATACACTGGTCATCTATGTACCCCACACATTAATTTCCTTTAAAACTATCTTGAATACTCAGCAATAGAGGAGTGGTAGTATGCACTCAGTGAACTGTAGGATCTGGTATTTAGAAATAGATAATGATAACTTTGTTGTAATGAAACTGAAGAAAAGAAGCTAACGCTTATGAAAATAATTTGTACACATACATACATACTTTTTAGCAATAAAAAATATGCCAGTGAGAAAAATACAGCAAAGAAGTACATAAAATTTGTGATAATGTTTGTTTATAGCAGTAGGTTATGGATATTGTGACCAGAAATACATTATCATTTAAGCCATGACTCTGGAAGAGTGTGTGTGTGTGTATGCATGTGTGTGCACTATTAATAATAACGTGACAGCAGCTGTAGCCCAGGACTGTCCTGAGCAACTTGGGTTATAGAGTCACCTTAGTTATGGGTGCTGTTGTACTTCTCTGTTTTTCAGACTTCCTGAATGATATTATTATTCATATTTTAAAGATTTATTTATTTATGCATACAGGAACTGGGGTATAGGCCAGAGGTGTGTGGGGGTGAGCAGATTCACCAGAGACAGAGTGGGAAACAGAACAGGCAGATCTACTGAAATACACTGCTGAGGGGAGCAGCGGCCAGACAGGAGAGGTCTGCCATGCTATATGAGTAGCTCCCTGGCTGGCCGGGGATTGAACTCGTGCTGCAGAGGCTGCAGACTGCTTCATAGGTTGCGTCTTAACCCCCTGTGCCACCAGGGAGGCCTGAATGATATTATTTTGACTTTAATTTAAAATAAAAAAATGTAAAAAGAATTATTTTGCTTTAGACTGTTTACTTTCAGAGGCCAGGGAACATTTCCTTGGACTGTCTCACCTAGCACTAGGTCTCTCCTGCTTCTTACTGTGGTGGGAAGGAGTATGGGGAATGACTATGTTGGTTTCTTTTAAAATCCAGAATTCAACTGACTAATTTTAATTTTTTTTTTTTTTTATTTATTTATTTGTTTGTTCGTTTGTTTTGTTTACACATGCACTGGGTACAGTCAGAAGCGCGGGAGGGTGAGAGAATTCACCAGAGCCAGAGCGGGGAGCAGAGCAGGCAGAAGGACCAAAGCACACTGCTGAGGGGAGCAGCGGGCGGCAGGAGAGGTCCGCGCGCCATGTGGGACCCTCCTCTGGTGGTCGGAGCAGCCGGGGATCGAACCGGCGCCGCAGAGGCCGCGGGCAGCTTCGCAACCCAGCTCTCAACCGCTGCGCCACCGGGGAGGCCCTGACTAATTTTAATTTAAGAGATCTTTTTGACTTAATGATTCATGAATTGGGCAGCATCCCATCTAGCAAACAGAAAGGTGCTCTGAGGCGGGGGGGTATAGCTCAGTGGTAGAGCATTTGACTGCAGAAAGGTGCTCTGAGGAGCTATACAAAAAGAAAAGAGGGATCAGGAGCAAGGAAGAATACCTGCAAAAAAGCAGATTGAACTCATGCTGCAGTGGCTGGCAATAGCTTGATAGTGCTGAGACTTAACCCCTTGTGCCACCAGGGAGGCCCTCTTGGCATAGCAGACCTTTCCTGTCTCTCCCACGGCTTCCCTCAGCAGTGTATTTCAGTGGATCTGCCTGTTCAGCTCCCCGTTTTGTCTCTGGTGAATCCTATAACCTCCCCATACCTTTGGCCTGTACTCCAGTTCTTGTATGCACAAATAAATAAATATTTTTTTTTTTTTTTAAAAGCAGATTGGTCATTTTCTGTGAGGGGAGGGAGGGGTTTATCAGGAGATGACTCACTGGAGCTACTCAGAGAACTCCTGATGGACTGGAGTAGGATTCTGTTTCTGGGAAAATCAAAGCTATAATTAAATCTTGGTTTGGTAACAGGGGATTTAACGTAAGTGATTCCATTTTGGACCTGTTATCTTGTTTTTAACATCTCCTTCAAGCTGGGAAGCCTTGCAGCTGTGATCATTTTTCTCCCCCTAGATTCTCACAAGGGAAGGAGCTGGAATAGCACAGACTTCAAGATGACCTTTTCTTGTGAATGATAAGATTAGGATCCTGGAGATTCAAAATGACCTAAGGGCTTGCGTAGAACCCTTGACAGGCCTGTTGACCTTTTCCTTTCTCAAAACTAAAGGTTAGTTTTTGGAATTTGCTGTTTAATTTTTTCCAACATTAGTTTGCCTGATATAAATTTACATTTGGTTGTCTTGTATCTAACCTCACAGTGGTGACATGTAAAGATGGCAATTTATTGGCTCACACTTGAAGTTCTGTGAAACAAACTTGGAGATCTAAAAAATATGTTACATGCAGACTTTTCAAACTAAACCTGTATTAACAGTAAATGCTGAAGGGTCAGGGCTGATACTCATCTCCATGGACTTCAGGGATAGTTTACTATCTGGTTAACAGTAAGACCTTGAGCAAATTATGAATAGTATTCCTTTACCTTTTAGCTTTCCTGCTTTCTAATGCAAGAAAGTTAAATACTTTGGTCAAGAAAACAGGGAACATGCTCTTCCCACTCTCCAATACCTTGTGAAAAAGGTACTGGAAGGAGGTATTTAAAGGCGGCTCTTTAAATATCCAACAAGACAGGCCTGCAGCCTTGGACCAGCTGAAAGGAGGCTATGTGTCTGATTCCATCTTTTCTCTGGAGCCTCATTTTCTGTGACCCCCTCAATCCTAGCCACAAGGGACTACTTCCTGTTCCTAAACATGACTTGCACGTTCTTGTCTCCTACATGAAATCATAGTATTCCTGCCATCTACACCCACTTCTGCCCTCTTACCTCCATTGTGAAGGCAGTTTGCCCATGGGTTAAAGGGACCACCAACACGACCAGTGGGGCGAGACCCCCGTGGATTCATTTCCAGTCCTGTAACTGGGTAGCTCTGTTACCTTTGACAAATTGTTAACTACTTGGTACCTCTGCTTTCTTAACTGTTAATAGGGATACTCTTCCTACTTCTTAGGGTTTTTATGATAATATGTCTATATATTTATAAAGAAAATGCTTAGAGCAAAGACTCTTCATCTGGAGCACTCTGTATGTTGCTGTTACTATCTTTCGAATTCCAGCCCATCCTGTAAGCCTGTTTTCACTAACCGGCATGAGGTTTGGGGCCTGCCACCTAGGTGTGAATCTGAATCCTGCCGTTTATCAATTGGGTGACCTTGGATGGTTATTTAATTATTTGAAAGTCAGTTTTCCATCTAGAGTGCACTGTGTCACATGATCACTGTGTGACCTGTGTGTGATCTTTCTGCAGGTGCATCATTAATACTTGACACCTGGAAGACACGCAACAAGTGTTAGTTTCTGTCTCCCTCACCCATTGTACTCTTTATCACCAGATGCTTTGTTTGGATGTCTTGTTTGCATGTCTTCCATTAGACTATATGTTCCTCCATTTTTTTCTACACAGCATGCATTTTTTCTTTTATTTACTCATTGATTTCCTCACTTAATTTGTTCATTTTGTCTCTGCCTGTTTCTGTCTCTCCCTTTCTCTCATTGACTCAAAAATCATTTACTGAGCACCTGCTAAGTATGTTGAAGCTAGGAATCTATCATTTTTGCAATTGGAGTCCACGAGAGAAATGATTAGAACCTGATCTAGGCCAGTGATTGGAGTCAGAGGAGGGGAGGAGTTTCAGAGGCATTTAGAGAGGATTTTTCTGAGCTGGTGGACCATTTGGGTTTGGAAGGGAAAGGAAAGGAAGGAATCAGATCCCTGAGTAGGATTCTCACTTGGGTTGATGTGGATGACGACACCGTTAACTAAAATGGGCAATACAGGGGCCATGGATGGTCAGGGAAAGAGTGTTATCTGATAACCAGACTGTCTTGGACACAGTGAGTTTGAGGTACCTGCAGGACGTCTGGATGGAGATGGCCACTACAAGGTGACTAAATGGGCTCAAGGCAGTTCCAGTTCTTGGCCTTTTTACACGTGATACAGAATAATCAGAGTGGAAGGGAAGAGGGCCACCGGGGCCCGCTGAGGAACTGCCCTGAATAAAGCAGAAGGTGGCAATGGGTCCATGGCTTCTGCAGGGAAACCTCGAGAGGTTCCTTAATGTGGAATAATGTCCCCACAGAGAACATGCCACTCACTGTGTGCTTCAAGGTCAGCCCTTCGGGTATTAGTGCAGAAGTGGGGAGAAGACTGCCCTCTCTCCCAAGTGGGTCTCACCGTATCACCTTGCAGGCCCCAAGTCCACTGTCTTTCCTACCCCAGCAACATTCTCACAATCCTTCTTGAGTAGGCGCCTTGCTCACTTTCTTTTAGTAGCAGTGTATCACATTCTCCCCTCCGGATAAGCACAAAGAGGACACACACCGACAACCATCTCACCACACGTACACACCTGGGCCGTACTCCTGTCTGAGCCACCATCGCCTCTGACCTGCACTATGTCAGTAGCTTCCTAAGAGTCTCCTGCTTCCATTCTGGTCCCTTGCAGTCTATTTCACATCTAGTAGTCAAAAGAATCCTGTTAAAATATGTCAGATTATATCACTTACCTGTTGAAAATGCCCCACTGGCTTCTAGATTCTTCACTGTGGTTCCCAGGGTCCGCATGACCAGGTCTCTGCCTCCCTCTCTGAGCACGTCTCCCTCATGCCTTACTCTCCAGCCACACTGGCTTCCTTTGGGTCCCCAGATAGACCCAGCTTGTTCTGCTTGGGGCTTTGGCTCTGGCCATTCCCTCTCCCTGAGAACTTTCACCTTTCAGGGTTCTCGCATGTCAAGTGTCACTTCCTCAGCGAGGCCTTACCTGACTGACTGAATGGGAAGTAGTCCCCACAAAGGCCTGGAGCCCTGGTCATCTTGTGCCTCCTGGTCATTTTTTGTATTGCTCTGTCTTGGGTGTCTACAGTAGTCTGGTCTTTAATAGGTTGAATGAATAGGGCTGCACATTTGCATGGGGATAAAAGGAATTTTAACTTGTCTGTTGGAGGAAGAAGGGACTAGTGAAAAGGAAGAAGTTGTAGTTATGGAGGTGGGAGAATTAATGGATCAATATCTTGGGAGCAGGTAGGGGAGATGAGACAGGAGAATTTGATGCTTTTCTTTGAGACGGAGGAAAGTGGGTGAATGTATGGATAGATTTCAAGGGGGCTGAGAGCAAAGATGAAGAATGGAAACCTGATGGCCTTACTATTTTGATGAAGGGATAGATAGGGTTGTCAACTGACAGAGAGGGAGCAGACTAGGAGGAGGTAAGAGGCTGGAGGTGCGAGCCATGGTCTGGAGATGCCTGGATGAGTGCCAAGGCTCCAGACCTGGAGGGCCCACTGAGATTGGAGCAAATAACCTGGTGCTGGAGCAGATGGGTAGGACAAGAGAGGAAATGGATAAGACAGGGGTTGGGCTGCTCTGCATTTATTCATGGAAGCAGTTGGTGTGTCAATGGAACAGGAAACTGAGGGTGCTGGAGGGAGAGTGTGGTGGAAGCAAGTGATGTCCAGAGGGAGAATAAGAAGAGTAAGACCTAAATTAAGGTGGTTGTTAATTCACATAGGAGAGCAGAGTTTGCATGAAAAAGGAAGTGAGAAAAGGAAGGGTGGGCTGCAGGTAGCTGAGAGCACTTTTCCTTCTACATTTCAAAGAACAGTTCCTCTTTGGGTTTTAACCATAAAATAAATACATTGTTGGTACACAGAGTTAGGTTGTAGGATTGTAGGAGCTGGGCAAAGCAAGAGCAAAGGGAAAAGTTAGGTAATTACCCATGAATAAGATCTTCCTTGGAAGGATCAGGAAAAAGTGAGGAAGAACCAGCAGGAGACTCCTAAATATATGGGAATGAGGAACAGGACCCTGAAGAGGGGAAGTCATACCAGGAAGTAAGGAGGAGGGCATCCGTTTGCTTCCTAATGTTAGTAAACAACATCCACCCAAATAAATTTATCTAGAAATCTAAGTGGCCTACTAACCCATGAGTGGGCAGCATTCCATCCAGAAGTAGAGGGGTCCTGCAAAGAGTCATACAGAAAGAAGGGTCTGTCTTACCAGGGAGATGACCTCATAAGTACGGTCCTGGAAAATCCAGATGGGTTGCTTTAGAGTTCTGCTTTTGGGAGGGGCTGAAACTGTAGTTAGGTTGGGTATTAAGACCTGGTTGGGGTCCACATTGGGTCTGTTGTTTCTTTTTTAACAGTAGCTAATTCTTGACATGTTATTGTCTGGAGATAATGGTTACAGGGAAATGTGGTTTTCTCCTGGTCTGCCCAGGAGAATGAGTAGCTTCTACTTGGGAGGATTACAAGGCAAGGGGAGGATGGAGAAGCCCATGTAATAATACATAGCTGCTGAGGTGGATGTGAAAGTGGAGCCTGTATGGGGTATAGCTGAGAGTTCCGTGGGGAACAGGCTTGGAAAAGAAGGCCAGCTCAGAGCCTGGGAGGGAGAAGAGAGCCCCAGGGGATGGATGGTGCCTGCAGACCCTTCAGATTGGTCAGGCTCAGTGCTGGAGGGAGCACTACTTTATTTATTTATGTGTTTGTTTGTTTGTTTATTTATGTATTTATTTATAGAGATTTTTAATTTATTTATGCATGTAAGAACTGGGGTATAGGCCAGAGGTGTGGGGGTGAGAGGATTCACCAGAGACAGTATGGGGAGCAGAACAGGTAGATCTACTGAAATACACTGCTGAGAGGAGCAGCGGGTGAGACAGGAGAGGTCTTCTGTGCCACCTGGGTTAGCTCCCTGGCCGGGATTGAACTCGTGCTGCAGTGGCTGCTGATAGCTTCATAGTTTTGTACTTAAACCCCTGTGTCACTAAGGAGGCCTCTTGGGAGTACTACTTTAAAAACGGCTTTATTGAGATATCAATATATAGTATAATTTACCCAGTTAAAGTGTACAATTGAGTGTTTTTTTTTGTATATTCTCAGATATGTGTAACCATCACCACGATCAATTTTAGAATATTTTCATCTCAAAAAGAAACCCTGAGCTCTTTAGTATCTATCACACCCCTCTTCTAATGCCCTCCCCGACCCCATGGGTCAGTTCTCCCCTACATATGCTTTTTCTCATTTTTTTTACTTCAATTATATTGATTCTAGTTAGACTGCGCCCCCACCCCTTAGTGTGTATGTAGGGGAGGCAGGGTCAGAC